AAAGAGATAGCATGATGTTGTGTGGGTTTAATGCATTTTTTACATATGAACATTGGCAAAGTGCTTACTTGACCTGAAATTGACCCTGAAATAAAGGGAACTGCTAAAGCTAAATCTATAAAAAACAGGAAGACAAAGACTACCTTGGCCAGTACCAGCCAGAATGGTTTGTTAGACTCTGCTTCAGGATACATGGATTAACCTAACAAATGTACTACTACTGATCGGTATGTCTCTGGAGATCTTTACTCGCATATAGTAATGCACTTTGAGAAAGCAAAAAATGCTAAAACCCAGCAGTGCAAGAGAATCTTGCTTCTGATAATAGTACAGTAATCGTCAGTTTCTTCTGGCATGACACTATTTTACATACTTCAGCTATGGTCCAGGGGGCGAATTGTGCAAAGACTTGAACGTAGGAGTCCCTTCACTCTCATAAGTAAGTCTGTTGAGACTGACTGAGTTACCCGTGTGAGTAAATGATTTCATGGATAAGTTCCTGTAGTGTAAGTCCCCAGTGCATTACTTCATTTGTTTAATGTTTAAGACTCTCCTCCCAACAACGTGGGAGGAGTGTACTTTTCTATCATCTATAAAGATGGGAGACTTGCGTAGAATATTGAAAAGTGAACTTTATTTGTGTATTTTATTATCACTGTTGTTTCAGGTCAGTTGAGTTCTGTAATGAAAGATCTGCATTCAGATGATAATGAAGATGAATCAGATGAAGCAGATGGGAACGACAATGATTCAGAGTCGGAACAACCTCTAAATACACAAGAAGGAAGCAGGAGTAGCAGGTCAGTGTCTTGTGATTGCAAATAGCCCGGTCACAAAGACATGGTGGTTGTTAGTAGTGAGGTGAGGTCTCTTGTTCTCAAAGAGCACTGAGTAGCAAATGAGCAGAGAATTCAGACTCTTTTTATGGAGCGTATGTGTTTAAAAGTGCCTCTACTAAAACTAACAGAATTAGCCATTCCGAATACAAACTATTTCTGTACTAATCTATATGATTATGATAGTCCTCATTCATTTGACTTTCCTTGATTTCATGCCACTGTGACATCAGGGGAGTAGTCATAATTCTCTCTGGTATAAATGAGATGAAATTAAGTCCTTCAATTGCTGGATGAGCTATTCTGCACATAGTGTCTGATTTTCAATATCTTTCTGCTTACCAGTTTTAGATTAGATTGTTTAAATTGGATCAGAATCAATGAAATTTGCATTCCAATTAATTTCTGCACTGTATGCAGTAGGTAATGTGTAAAAGTGCACACAGAAGGTAAAGCAAGCATCTGTCACAGAGACTACTCTTAAAAAAAAGCTTCTACATCTTAGCCACAACCTTAAGAGGGCGTTCCAAAAACCATCTGTTCTTGGAGCAGCTTGAAGCACTGTCTGAATGTTGTTGAAAGTTATGCAAAACCTGCGTCAATGGCTCTCGAACCTTTTCATAGTGGGCTCTTTATCTGATCCACAGGGTTTTGCTGTGAGTCCACAGCACCTGAGTGCCTGTGTCAGCTACTGCTTATATTGGAAGGTAATAGGAAAACGTTAATGAATGTCAGTTGCTTCCCTGGTGCACTTTAGCAGCTGGAATCGAGGAGAAAAAGAGCAAGATGACTAGCAGTTAGAGAATTTTTTTGTGTTGGTGATTATATAAAGGATTGTCTTGAGCTCAATTTGTCTCTTAAGTCTGGACATTTTGTTTCGGTTTTTTAACAAAGCCTTAAAGCTAATACTTCTCTGTCATCTTTTTATACCCAATAGCTATTTTTTTTCTCCCAACAAACAAATATTCCCTGTTGTTCCTAAGTTAAGTGTGAGACTGACTAGGAACTGAGCTTTTTCATGTGGCCTTTCCTGAGACACTAGATTTTAAAATTTTAGCCAGGGAAGAGGGTATTAGTTGTCATGAGAAACAAGGAACTTCCCAGTGTAACACTTGTCCAAGTGAGAAGTACAGCTGTTCAGGAAGCTTTCAGAAGAGCAGAAAAGTGTCTATAAAAACCATTTTCCTTCTTCCGTGTGGCTGTGAACCAAGGTACAGACTCGCTGCAGGAGCGCTGGGGATGGCAGTTAAATGTCCTAAATATTTAACTGTTTCTGTAATGTTAGCAGCTCTTAGCTGACTGGTCACCTCAGCCAAGCGCAAGCAGACATCCTTGTTCTCCATGCTACTTGGAGCTTTTACCATAGTGTGGCCCTGCACGGATGCCTCTCTTCTATGCAACCTTGACTAATGATGCCTTGCTTAGCGAAGGGCCGTTCTTTGTCCTACCTCAAAGTGCAAGCTTGGGTCACCCCTGTTAACAGCCTTTTGTCTGGAGGTGTAATCTCTTGGCTCTGTTTTTCCATAGGGTTAGTCTGAGTGATGTCAGTGACAGTGACAGCAGTTCAGCTTCCTCACCACTTTGTCATGAGCCGGCACCACCTATACTGAAAACCAGCAACAACCAGGTAAAGTCAGTCTTGAAGAGCTGATAATGATGTTCTGATAACTTCAGGGCAGTTACTTATGCTGTAAATTGACATATGAGCTGGTTTTTTTTACAGGAGAAGTAATATCTGGGTTAGCAAATACTATTAGACCTAAGTAATGTTTTCATCGTTACTTTAAGAAATGTGTCATTTCTGTATGAATTAGCTTTGTAAGGTAAACAATGCAAACTAGCTTTACGGCATCAGTTGTACAATTGATATGGGTTTGGGTTTATTTTAGCAGTAGACACAGTTAGCATCAATAGGCTGATTCTCGGGATTTTGGGAGTTACCTCGCCGCCAGTCACCAATAAGGTAAGGGTCTATATATACACGAAAAATTAAACATAAAAGCTGATTTTTCTTTTAAAAAATCATGATTTATAAGATACATCATTTGTAATTCAATGGAACCGTAATTCATTCCCAGTGTCAGTTGGATCATACACAAAGCAGTCGTGAAATTTATTGGCTGGCAATAAAAGGCTGCTTACAGTATTGACACAAGTAGAATAGTGTCTACATGTATTAACAGAAGTTTATGGTTTCGGTGGTGAGTTTTATGGATGAATCTTTCCTATATCTCTTAGTTTAACTGCCTCAATTATATAGCAGAAATAATATACTTGTCCTTGTTTTTCTAATGAGGTTTCCAATGTCAACTTACTGACAGAGCATAAACAAAACATTATTCACACCAGCGAGGTTCAAATATGCCGTGGAGAAGAAACCCTAGGAAATAGTTTGTACACAGGGAGAGGAAGGAGATTCCACATCCAGAAAGCATTATTATTATCCGCTACATACTCTATAGGCTTTTCTACATTGATCTGTGTCAAAGTTACAAGTT